AACACTAATAATCATTTTGGGCCATTGAAACAGGAAGAAATTAGAAAACTCACATTTGTTATAGTTTCCAAGCTTTTTCTTGCAAACAGGCCGATCCCTTCGTGTTTGTTTTAAGTCCTCTTCGTGAATTTTCTTTCATATTTCGCTGTAAAGTATGTTCAGCAGCTGAAGGACATATCAAAAAGCTCGAAATACTGCCTAGGTTACATTTTCAAAGGGCAAAAAGTGCTGAACGATAGGATGAAACTAGAAAATAACAAAGCGACGCCATCTTGAAAATTCAGCACTCAGAAGCGACTGGCACTAGTAGCTGCCTTGTCCACAAGTGATGAATTACCAAACAGATAAAAAAACAAAAACAAACAAACCGGCTTATCAGCGACCTATTACAGTACTATTTCTTCTTCAATTACTACTTTTAGTGAAATCGTTTTCCTTTTTTTTTTTATATATTTTTTTTCGGCGGAGTGATGGGGTGTGGTGAACTGGTGACCAATTGGCATTACTTTATTCAGTCTTCATTTGCTCTTCATTCACTTCATTTTGAGTTATCCCATGTAAGTCTTAGCGTTTCTTTGGACTCTTTTTTGCATCATCTATTTTTGCGTCAATCTTCCATCACCGTGCATGTCCGAAGGTCCACTCATCTCCTGTTCATGATTTCATGATGCACAGTTTCATGGTCCGGAAGGCTTCGCTCGAAGGGTACCTCTTTCAAGCATTAGGTGTATCAAGGGGTAGCTAGGAAATCACAAGTTGAAGTATGTGAAAGGAGAGGAAAATCTTTCATTAAGTATTTTAAAGAGCCTATTATTAAAATGCTTCCAAGAAACACGCCTTATGGCAATATCATTTACATGTTAAGGTTACTCGAAAATGACCGGGAGACCTCCTTTCTTACCGATTTATTCTCACGAAGCAGATATAAAGGGTACAACTTTTTAATGGAAGATACACGAAAGGGGTACCTTTTGTCGAAAATAGTATATTTAAGGGTAAGGGACTGCACCTCGGGTCAAGGCCTCTCCGAACAAAGCTTTATTGAGTAGCCTCCCACCCCTTCCCCCCTTCCCCTTCTCCCTAGAGCTTTCCACAAGTTGCTCGCCAACTTTTTGGCAACTTGTAGTATTTCGAGCAACTTTTTTCGTTTCAAGCAACTTTTTGCGTAATTTCTGAGCAATTTCTCTCACTAGTTTTCTTCCAATTCTGAGATATCTGAGCAGTTTTTAGTGCTTAAATTGGCCTTGCTTCCATAATGCACAGTGTGTTAGTAGACAATTTATGAATTTCCTATGAAAAAAGAGCCAGATCCTCACCCCTTGGGCGCAGATGATGGGCGCAAAATGCAGCCGGGCTGCTAGGTCAGAGGTTTTTTTTGAACAAAATTCGAAATGGCGGACGTCGATTCACACTTGACTGACACGAGTGTCTAAGGTGAATAAGGTCATTCAACAATTTTAATGGCTCATACTAGAATTTTTACAATTATTAATATTAATATTGATGTGTAGTCTTTACTCAAACTTTTTTTTTAATTGTGGTTTACGGGCTTCTGATGGCGGACAGAGTTATCTAGCAACGCTAATTACGCTGCAAAATTGCACAAAATTACTTTTTTATACTCTACCAGGAGCCATATATATATATATATATACAGCTATTTCGAGAAAGGTTGTCGGAAAAAGTGCACGCGACAATCCCGAAAGGTATTGTGGGTGGTTTTTAGTTCACTGTTTTTGAAAGAAATTTCAAACAATGGCAAGAGAGGCCATGGACGTAGGTTTGCGAGTGCTAAAGGAAAGCAATAAAAGTAGGTTCGACAGCTACAGTGTCAGGAACAGTGTATTGATCATATCCCATATTACCTTTCGGGATTGTCGGGTGCACAGTTTTTCCGACAACCTTTCTAGAAATAGCTGTATATAAATCGGGGTAGTAGACCGTAACTGGATACCTTTTCCAGGGATTAGGCTGACCTCATGGAAATATATATCATAGCCATTAAATGTACTATTTTTAGCACATTTTGTGCCATCTTGTGTGACTTGCGTGCGTATTTTTTGCAACAGCGCCGTGGAAAGGATTAACAAACGAAATGGCGTTGGAAATTACCCCCGTAGGAGATGAATAAATCCCGTTTCTGTCATCATTGCCTCCTCTGAAGTTAAGGCAAGACCTTAACAATTACTCTAAATGTGAGGACTGTGAACATGGTTCTGCTTGTGTTAAACGCCGTAGTGAGAGTGTTTTTGACAAATCCAGTGACGAAGAGATGTAGGAGATGTCAAAACTCGAGTTAACACTCAGACCCCTTTTAAAAATTTTTGAACTGCCAAAAACTTGCATGGATCCGCCTTTTCTTTACATGCGACCCGCGGAACCGTAAAGTTTTTGAGCTGCAAACAGTATTGCAATCTATGGAGAATTTGCACGTTTCCTCTAAACGGGTTGCACAGCTACAAAATGCGTCCGGACCCGTGGCGTTTAGCTTGTGTGGACCGTGCAAAGAGCATACTGAAAAAGAAGTGAGCAGGAAAAACAATGAGGGGAAGGGGTACGGAGTGAGAGCCGTAGGAACCCCTGTAATCGTACTTTTTAACAAAAGCTCCTTCCGGATCCTTCCGGTAAACCAGATCTGGTAAGGCCTTTGAATGGTTTATTTTGACAGCTCTTGTCAACAGTCTATTACCTTATGGAAATGCGAAGTGATAGCGATGAGATCATCAGTTAGAAGGCTTACTTTCAAACTCGGGGGGGACTCCGCATATGAAAGGGGTGGGGATGCTCATCGGAAATTTTGAATTAAACCCCTAAAGGAGACCGATCTGGGCGTGGCCCAAGCTTTTTTTGATCCCTAAAAGAGACGATGTTGAAACACAGACAAATGACAAAACTTGGATGATATGAATGGAGTAAATAAAACGAATTAAAAATATACATATCAAATATATATTTTTATCTTTTTTCGCGTGCTACCCTAAACGAGACCTTCACGGCTAAATATGATGGCGTTTTGCCCAGAACACCCTAAATGAGACCAAAATCCGAAATTTACACCCCTAAGCGAGACGACGAGCATGCCCACCACTTTCATATGCGCAGTCCCCCCTCCCCGGGCTTTCAAAAATTACTTCGTCTGCTGTCTTGGCCGCTTTGCGGCCTAAAATGCCCGCTCCGCACGCTGATTCAACTGTTCATTTTAGGTGATAAAAATTATTGCAAATTTTACAGCAAGCAATATCTACTGCCCGTAGTTAGCCCGCACGCTTAGAAACTCGCGAGGTTGATATATAGCAAGTCTAGCTAGCTCCCATGAGAACGAAGTTAAGTGATTCATAAAGAGACAAAATATATCTTTATTATTATCTACATTCATGGGACACCTCGAAATGAGAAGGGAATGAAGCAATTAACCTGCGATCAAGCGTTCTTCTTGTTTTGTCCTTTGAAAGAAAAACAAGCTAAATTCAACTAAAAGAAGTAACTGAAGAAGAAATAAGACTGGAGTAGGTCGCTGATAAGCTGGTTTGTTTGTTTTTTGTTTTTTATCTTACTGGTAATTACAGGAGCCCATAAACTCCTGGTAATAGTTCATAATAGCCAAACGTTCGAAAAAGGAACTTCTTACATGAATCCGAGGCTTTCTGGTTACATTTCTGTATTAGGTTTGGTTTTCTATGTGCTCAAGTGTCTTTTGGGAATTACGAGACAATTGAGTCGTGAAAATTTTGCAATTTTTTTCCTTATGTTAGATATCGAACTCAGCTACTAGTGCCAGTCCCTCCTGAGTGCTGAATTTTCAAGATGGCGTCGCTTTGTTAAGTTTCATCCTATCGTTCAGCACTTTTTGCCCTTTGAAAATGTAACCTAGGCAGTATTCCGAGCTTTTTGATATGTTCTCCAGCTGCAGAACATACTTTACAGCGAAATATGAAAGAAAATTCACGAAGAGGACTAAAAACAAACACGAAGGGATCGGCCTATTTACGAGAAAAAGCTTGGAAACTACAACAAATGTGAGTTTTCTAATTTCTTCCTGTTTCAATGGCCCAAAATGATTATTAGTGTTTTGGTTACATGGATGATAGTAGACTGCAATTTGGCTGTCAGAGTTGTTCTGTCGTTTTAGTTGTGCGCTGTAGATCAATTCAAAAATGCCCGATTTTTTGCTCGTTTGCAGACACTGAGTTTAGGTCAGATAAAATAAGAAAATTTTAGTCTTGTCCGTGGATACTTAACAAATCTTATGGTTTTAGAAAGTAGTTCTGTGATGTGTTGTATCGCATACAAAAAATAAACTTCGCTCGTTAAATTTGGAGGGTTCTGTGAGTTTCAGAAAATGGTGAAAATTTGCTTATAAAAATGGCGTCCGAGGGGGTCGAAAAAAGTGATGCTCGTATCTCTAATACAAGAGCAGTGAAGAACCTGTGTTTGGTATATTTGTCCATTACTCCACCAGACCTATCTATGATGTTAGTATGAACTTATTCTGTTGACCCCCTTCCGTTGACATTTTTAACATTTTGCCCGGTTTTCTCTGACAACCACTCTTAAATTGGTCTTCTACCGCCTTTCCGCTGGTTTGTTCAGAAATTAAAATACGTGACAATGAAACTTAATTTAAATTTTAGACTATTATCTTTGAATGTTCGAGGGATTCGATCTATTGAGAAAAGAAAAGCCATTTTGAATTGGTTAGTCAGAAGCAAATCGGATACCATATTTCTCCAGAGACGTACAGCACTTCGGAAGTATGAATTGGTATGGAAATCACAATAGAGAGGAGACGTTTTTTTTTTAGTCAGGGATTCGAGCATAGTAGAGGCGTCATGATACTTGTAAAAGAGAATTTTGATTGTGAATTGAAGGTGTGTCATATAGATAGCGATGGGAGATTTATTATTTTAAGAGGTCAGATGCAAGACCATCCTATTGTCCTTATTAACATCTATGAACCAAATACAACAAACGACAAGTGAACTTTTTTCGCAGAAATTCAGATGAGGCTAGATGAATTTGAGATAGATGAAGATAGTGACATAATTATTGGAGGTGATTTCAATGTTATACTGGATTGCGACAGGGATGGATTTGGAGGTAAACCGAAACTTAAAATAGCATGTAAAAAAATTGAAAATCTCTGTTCATCATTTGACCTAATTGATATTTGTTTTCGAAAAGCATCTCCTGGAAGAAGACATTTTAAGTGTATGCGATCTTTTCTTTAGAAGGGTTAACAGGGACCTCTCTCCGATTGACCGTTTTAAGTTAATAGGTCTTATATGGACGCTGTACCTGTTGAATGGAGAAAGCATGTTAAACAAATTGCTCAGTAATATTACATTCGTCCTCAATTGAGGTAAAAGGTCCACCTTAAAAATGATAACGCTGATGTCGATATGTCTTCGGTCACGTCAAAATCTCTTTACAATGCATTAAAAATGGCAAAACAAACTCCTCCATCTGCTCAAAAGAGGTTTCAGGATCAATTTCCTGATGTTCAATTTCATTGGAACGACATATATTCGTTCTCATTTAAAGTGTCGCTAGAAACAAAAATTAGAGAATTACAATATAAGGTTTCGGACAACATTGTTTTCACGAATGAAAAGTTTTTCAAGATGAAGAAGACTGATTTACCAAATGTATCTTTTGTATAAACGAGATTGAATCCCTTGAGCATCTTGTTTACAATTAGTAAATAACAAGATCCTTCTGGGTAGCGCTCCGTTATTGGCTTATGGAATGTAATATTAATTTGTAACCTTTGTCGGTTTTTAATGTCTAATTTGGTATATTCAACGTAGGAGAAGATTTTGTCATTGTTAACCATCTTATCATAGGCGTACGGGCAATTTTTTGCCGGGGGGGTGGGGGGGTAATCCATTTGCCCAAAAAATTCTTGCAAGTTGCCCAAATTTTTATAAAACAGTCGAAAGGAAACTGGGGCCATGCATCAAAATAGAACGTACTGGCATATCAAAATGGCTCGATACAGTTTTTCAGAGTCAATACCTGCCAAGTTTGAGCATAAACTACGTCGCCACAAACAAGCATTTGGAAAAAATTACCACCACAGTTGTATTAGGTAAAGAGGGAAATTTGTCACGATCAGGATTGTAATGACATCGGAGCTGTCATAGCAACGAAATGCCGCCACCACCTATTATACTTGCAGCAATATTTCTCACTGGGAACTGTTCTTACAAAATCGTTCAGGGGAGCTCTTTCCTCCAATAGTCGCCTCGATGTTCGTGAAGTTAAAACGGAACTGTAAGAGCGTTATCGAGATATTTTGGGATGAAGTTTTTATTGTTATAAATAAGGTAAAAAAGGAAAATCTTGATGTTTAGTCGTAATCTGAAGAAAACGGAGCGCTTTTGACATGCAATTTCACCTCACAGTAGTTTCAATCTCCTGCCAATTGCTATAAGGAAGGATTTGATTAGCGCTCGATCTTGTTAGGGGTTTCGTAAACATTTCGGTCTACTTAAACAAATTAGTGAATAATTTTTAAACCCCTTGATACATTTTTTTAAGAAAATTATGATTCTTCTCGTAATTCAAACTGAGAATTAGTCAGCCACTTCACTTTCAGACCCATTGCTGATGCGTGTTCTGCCACACACTGTTCTAGGAGCGGAGGTGATTCTAGAAAGTTATGCGGAAGTTTATTCTAATCAATTCACGACTGGAAATAGCCCACTCCAGCTATTACAGTGAAGTACAGTACCCAACAAAAAAAAAATCAGCATATGATACCCTTCCCTTATAACCAGAAACTCGTCACGTGCTGGGCAACCTCTGTCTCGTGTGAACGTAACTGAATTATTACGCCAACTTCTGGTTAAAATAGAAAATATTTATCTCTTCAAAATAATAATAATAATAATAAAAAACATGGAAACGTCTTTAAAAACTGGCTTTGCCCAAATTTTCTCTTGCTGCCCAAAAAATCTGAGTTGCCCAAACTTTGGGGGGGGCTGCAGCCCCCTCGCCCCCGGCCCGTACGCCTATGCATCTTATTCTAGTGGCAAAGTTTTACATTTATCGCTGTAACTTAAATTCTGTTAAGGTATCAGCCACCCTTCAGGACCGTCCGCGCGCGGATCGCTGTAGCGTTAGTTGTTTTTATAAAAACCCCTATAAACCATATATTTTTTAAAAGCTTAATAATTCCAGATTATGGACTTGAACTAACAAAAACGATTTACTTAAATGTGTTTCGAAACTGGAACGCTTTGTGTAAAAGTACACATCTCTATAAATCATGTTCCACTCCCGCCGGAAATAAACGGAAGAAAACAATTAACACCGCATACGCTTCTCAATACGTTCTACTAAAAAACCGTGTCTCAGATTTTTGACAAGTGCGTTTGTTTTTCTTTTATTAGCAAATGAAGTTGGGGAAGGCAATTAGTCAACACTCCCTGTGGGAAAAAAGCTCTAGCTTTAAAATGAAACGGAGTATTAAAATTCGCAGACACGGTTTTGTAGAAGAGATATATGGCATCACTCTGGCCAAATTTTAGCCAAATTGATTGAAAGGCTGCCGACTTGGAGTTCAAAATGTACGAGTCGATCAGCAAAATTTGCGTTCGGAGATAAAATAGAAAATACATTTTTGGCGGCATCCTACCTGGAATGAGATTATAACACCTAAATGTTTATTCTGATTGATATCAGAGAGGGATCAATTTTCTCTAACAATAGGACTTTGACAGGTAACATGTAACAGGAACAAACTTTTTATTGCTATCAGCATCTTCAAGTGAACAGTTTAATTCTCCGTTGTAAAACTTCCACTCTTTTACACCACGAGAAGCACGGTTTAATTGTTTCTCCTTCGATCTTTTTTGTATGATCCGCCCAGGCGTTTTTGTTGATCGGCGCCAGGCCAAGGAAACTAAAAAACTCTAAAGACGCCGAATGTCCAACACCGATTGCTCGAAGGCCAAGAACTGAGGCCCGATTTATTTCAAACGCTCTGCTCTTCTCGGAAGAATTAAAAACAGAATTTGTCTTGTGCGACGGACAGCTTTCATTCTCGCACTGGATTCTCCAAGTAGAACCAAGTCCATGCTTACTCGCTACATTTTCCATGACTTGGACTCTTCCCTGGCAAAATCGACAAGATTCGTCCAGTTTCTCAAGCAGCTTTTCGCTCGATACGATAGCTCGATCGCTTATTGTTTTCCACGTTCCATCAGCAGACGGGGTCGATGAGCTTAATTGGCTTTCTTCATCTGGTTCTTCAAGCTGGATTTTGGAGCGGCTCGCACTCTCAGCAATTGCAGCGTTGTCGCTTTTCTGAATATCCAACTCCTCGAGCCACTTCTCTTGCTGATAAAATGAGCCCTTGTCGCTCTCTGCCAATTTTGCGGCCCATTCTTTGTCAAACTCGCTCTTCGATTTCTTTTTCGATCTCGGTTCGATGACGAAAACGGACACGACCTTTTCTTTTTTCACCGAAGCAAACGCTAAATATCCACGGAACATACTAAAGGCTATAAACAACGCGAAGACAATTCGCACGTGTTGTGTCGAAGCACGCACTCCGTATCACGTTACTATATGACACCGGTATGACAGATCTTGTCAACGATCAATTAAGATAATTAACGAGAAAAAATCTTTTACCCCCGATATCTTTCGACAGAAATAATATTTTCTTCTGATTTTTTTTTTTAAAGAAAGTTCTCAAGCATGTCTATTTGAAAACGTTGAAACCTCAAATATGGAAAAATGGCAATTTTAAGGGTGGCTGATACCTTAAACCAGCAATGCAGGTCTTAAAAACAAAAATCAGAGCGATACACAATATAGAAGGTAGAAAAGCATTTATGCGGAATAAGGTATAGAATTCCATGACAAAAAAGGGGAAAAAATCAAATGTTGTCTCAATTGAGCCTATCCCCCCTCCCTCGTTTTTCTCCCCGTCTGTTATGGACTCCGTACAAATCCTTCTAAATTTGACTTTGGTCTTTCCGTCTAGACCCAAGTCAAATTTAGAAGGATTTGTATGGAGTCACAGAGCATAACTGCGCTAATATCTCACAGACAATTTGCTCCGAAATGCTAATTTTTGGCAAGTTGGCGTCTTGGACGTTGCTCTTGACAAATCCCATAATTTCACAAATTTAATTTCTATGACGTCATCACTTTAGAACTCTATTGTTATTTGTATATTTCTGTGATTTATTTTTTCAGGATAAAGTGTAGCGTAGCTTCTTTTTACGTAAAGTTATAACACCAGTATCAAATTGTAATGTTTCCGGGTGTAATGTTGTGAAGTCATTGATAAAATCATTTCTTGCTTTTAAAAAAAAAAAGTTATAATAGATAAAAATGTGGTGAACGTTAAAATGTGATAAAATATGTAAAAATGTAAAAAGTGCTAAAAATATTTATAAAGTCTAAAAACAATGGAAATAAAACAATGTTAACAAGAACTACTCTTATCACATTTTAGCGCTCACCACATTTTTATCTATTATAACTTGTTTTTAACTTATTTATGCTAATTTAGAGAACTTTTATACACTTGAAAATGACCTCGGAGAGGACGAAACGTCGTGATTTTTTATCGCTAATATTTATCTCAAAATCGATTTCTAAGAAATTACTTATTTAAAAAAAAAAGTAAAAAAAATAACCAACTATAGAGAGCCTGAACTCATGATTACGGTAATTTGTTCTATTTTTTTATTTTTTCATTTTTTTGTGTGGTAATCATAAAACACAAATGCGAGAAGACCACGCGCGAGCATTTAGCAAGTGCTTCGTTCCAACGGCGAGGATTTTTTCAAAGGTCTTCCCGAGGTCGGGCAATTGTCTTATTTCTTCTACACTGTGACATAGAAAGAGGACATAGGCACTTAAATCTCATGGCCTTTATCGAAAACTGAGAAGAATTTTGAAGAGAATTAATTGTCTTTGTTTGCAAAAAAGGCAAGGTTTATACGTAAATAGCACACTTTTGAATACTTCCTCGACGTGGCAAAATTTTTCACGGTCAAGACTTTCTTCTTCAGGGAGGCCAAAATTTATAGTTAAACATTTTATAGTTGTTATTGTTGTTGTTGTTGTCTTTTTCTTCCAGCCTTACTTAAGTGAACCTACCCCTGTTTAGTCCATTACCACAGTGCGTGAATTTGCGTTACCTCTTTCCAGGAAACATACACGTTAAGGTTTTTCTATTAATCTGCTGGCCCATACTTGGGGCATTTACAGCTTTCGAGGATAAAAAAAAACGACAAGTGCCCGGTGGTGGATGGGTGGGCGGGCTTGGAATGAGCGAGTAATGAGTTTTTGTTGTTGTTGTTTGTTTGTTTGTGTTTTCTACTTGTTTTCGCTTTGAAAAGAAGAGCTGCCACGATCATCAGTCACAACAGAAAGTTCCTGGTATAGGGCTAGAATCCAAGTTCGCGTTTTTCCCATTTTTCATTTTCCCTTGCCCCGTGCTCGTTCCCCGCTTCCCGTTGCCCGTTTAAGTAACATCCCTACTCGAAACTACTACCTCGGAGTGAGTCAAAACGAACGGTGGACCAGTTCAAAAGAGTCGCATACCGTTTCAAGTACTGATTTCAAGGTATTGAGGGTCGACTATAAAGCGTTGACATCTCCGAGTACTAATATTTTATTTCATTTTTATTATTTTGCCACACAGAATAAATTACAAGTCGAATAGAAAAGATAATAAATAGTTAATTAATATTAAATTTAAAATGAGCATACAACTTGGAAGCAATGACTGTGGCGGGGAAATCTCCGAGAAGCAGAGCTTATGAGGAATAGAGATTTACCCCCACGGGCAATTTAAATACTAGGCGGCATTTAAAAATAAAGAAAAAAAGACGTGTATTTAAGTATATTAGTGTGCTTAATAACTTACTCTATGTACTCAGGTATGCATGTATTTAGTTATCTATATATATTTCACTTACTTCCAGATATTTAATTTATTTCTAAATATATTTAATAACTTATTTAATGTACTTCTAAAGTTCCTATTTACGCGGGATGACGTAGTCAGCCAGCGTTAAAAATTCGGTAGCGCATTCCTTTCGTCGTCTTGGGAGTCAAAAATTGCCTTGTTTTTTTAACTTTCCCGTATCCCGAGCCCGTTCCGAAAAAATTGTGTGATTTTTATTGGCTGCAACTTCGAATCACGTGCATTAGTCAGGTTGGATTACACAAGCAGAAAAAAGATACTGCGTCAGGAAAGAAGGGAAAAGTAAGATTACAGCGTAGTTCTAGGAGGACGACTAGTAAAGGCTCTGCACTAGATCGAACGGCGCAAGACTTGGCCTCGGGCGACTGAAAATATTGTCTAGGTGGCCCAGGCGGGCGACTTGCTGGTGTTGGTTTCTTGTGTCTGTTGATTTACAGTCAAACAGCTAAGAATGTCTAGAATTTATTACTTGCGAAATCGTAGCTCGCTCGGTGGCTTCACGGCTTAAAAAGAACGCTCCGCTCGCTACGAAACTCTTGAGGTCGACTTGTAAGTAGCAATAAGTAGCATGTCTATCAAAAAGCTTTAAGAAAATGTTGTTAAATCGGGCAGCGGGCACGCGTTGTATTGATGTTCAAAGGTCGTTTCACGTGAATTCACATGTAACATAATCCTTGACTATGAACGTGACAAGCTGCACAGTTTTCGATAGTAAAAGCTTTTCATAATGACATTGAAATTTTTCCTTCAAATTAGGATGGTTCACTAGTTAGTTTTTCTAAACAAATTGTAACTTTTGCTCTGACAGGCGTAAAGTACGGTCGGCGACGCAAAACAATTGTTTTGTATTTTGAAAAATCGCTGAATAAACACGGGAGTCGGTCTTTTCTGTTAGTTAAATATTTCTACCTTTTTCTACTGCTGTGTCTGCGAGGCTAAAACATAACTAAGATTGTTACTCCATTAAAATACGATGTATGAAAAAGAAAAGAGACTACTATTATTGTTCTAGAATCGGGTATAAAGGGGGTATAAATCTATAAAATCCCGCATTGTCTTTCGCGTCGTGACCAGGCATTACGTATCAAGTACTAAAAATAAATACGCGAAAGCTAACCGAATCCACATTTGTCCTGAACACTTCACCGATAATATAGAAATAAAATACTTCCGTTTATGCGCTTAAACGACGACTTTACAACAAGATGATCTATTCAAAAGAGATAATAGTTTGGGGGCAGCCGGGGGGGGGGGCACTTCCTTATAAGAGGCTAATGGGGAGATATGCCGCGCATTTTCACGACTGGATTGACTATAATGGGGTTGCATTTTCAAAAGCGTTACTAGAATGGGGCCGCACATTTTTGGATTTTTGGGGTAAGAGAGTTGTTCATAATGACGGTTGGCAAACGTACCGCGATATTTGTACTGTAGGTGAAAAGTAAAGTGTTCTTCATTCAATTTATTAAAAAATGGGTCAATTCACTTTTTGATGGCCTATTTAAAGGATTGATAAGGTAGATAAATAAATAGAAAGTGACTAAGTTGGGATCGCAAAAATTACATATTTGCCCAAGAGTGACTAATATGGGGTCTAGGGGCTCTGAGAGGCCAGCGGCACATACCCAGCAAAAATTACCCCACGTAACCCCCCGGGGGCACCGCGGTTTCGTTGAAATCATAACAGTTTTCCTGGAAAGCTCCACGGGATCTCAGTCAATCTTAATAAACAAATTTTCTTTTCAACCTGAATCAAAACGATTAGTAAAAAGAAGAATGCCCTTATTTTTGACCCCAATTTTCTTTTTTTATAAAAAATACATTAACAGACCAGAATCTTACTTTTCCATTTAAAAAACATGAAATATTCGGCGGCGTTGCCCATGTTTCTCATGGCACGAAAACTTACTTTCATATGACAACATGTGGGGTTTTTTTTCGCACGCTCAGGAGGTCACAGGGATGTGATTTTTCATGAAAAAAATATTCACAAAATTCTGCTTGACTTGTTAAGAAAATAATTTGTTTAATTTTTAATAATTAACTAACAGCTGATTGATTTATTAATTTGGGCGCCCAGCACCACAGTTAAAAATGCTTGGGGAGCCCGAACGGCTCTCTGAAATCTTCCCTAGAGCACAGCCTTGCAGCCCTGTAGTTATTGGTAGTATGTTACATTACGTGTTATTGTTGAATGTGGAAGCGCATTTTTTGAGGACATTAGTAAAGGAATGCAAATTTTAGTGAACTATCCCATACTCCTAACATATATGGTGGTAATATTGATGTAAGTTTTGTTTTGAGTAGCAAAGGAACCCTTGTGTGTAACTCCTCTTCTAGTGTATTAGTCCTTAACAGAACATCTCCGTCTCTCCTGCACACATTTGTTGCATACACTACTCAACTTTCCGTTGCCATTCAACATAACGGTAATTCTTTCTTACACCAACACATCCCGCGTAAGCGCCTTCGGGCGTCTTCTTGTTTAGAAAGCTTCGGAGCCGCACAGGCTTCAAAATACTGTCATAAATTAAAAGGCTACCAAATAGGACTACAACCTTTCCAATTTGGAAAATAAATACGAGCACTGACACTTCTCAAGCACCCAGGGTTAGAAATTCTTCAGAAAAGGTTGCAGTATCTTATTAGAGATGTAGGCCGAAAATGCATGGTGTTGAATAGATTGTTTGTCAGGATCGAATTCATTTAAGAAACGCAGACTGTGGTCTACGGACTACAGACCAAGAATGGATGAACGGTTTTCGATCTGTTATCGGCTTAAACTGTTTTTTTACACACTCTTGATACATCTGTACTAAGTACTGTCGCGACTTTGCGTCAGTGGGATGAGAAAGTCAATGCCTATACCATCTGTAGTAAGTAGTCAGCGTTTAAAAAGTCTCACAAGAATTTCACTTCATCTAAGGCGCGCTAAACTAAGAAGTGTTTATCGTTTTATGTTTTTGTTTGTCTTGTTTTTTTTCTTTAACTTATTGAATCTACGATTGTTAACTACGATGAAAATCAACAAAATATGCATGTATATATCGCAAATGATATACGAAACGTAATGAAAGCAAAAGAAGCCCACAAAATATAATTGCATATCATTGGTTATTTTGAGCTGAAGTCCACTTCCATTCTTTAAGCCCGCCCTTTTTCGCGAAAAAAGAACAATACACAAAGAAAGAAATTAGCATCTTTTAGCTCACTATATGAATTCTGCCAAGAGCAAAAACCGGAGCTCTTGCAAAATAGCAACGATTTACTTGAAAAAATAATCTTTCAGATGTTGC